GATTGAACTCAGTCCCCTGCGCTTGCCAGGGAAGCACTTATTCCACTGAGCCATCTCCCCGGCCCTGTGCATGCTATTATAATTATAGATACATAATGGAAGATACGGTAAAAAGACCTAGGACATACAATAGCAAAGTAAACTCTGCTGGCCATGGTGACCCCCACTCCTGCAATCACAGCAATCCAGGCTGATGGAGGAAGACAACCGGGAGTTCAAGGCCACCCTAAACTGTACATAGTGAGACCCTGTCTGAAAAAAAAAGTAAAACAAAGGTACCAGTCTGGTGTCTTACAGTGGTAGTTGAAACGCTGTGTCCGTTTATGATAAACTCAACTTTGCATTCATTTATATTGCATATGTGAAATTATGTAGTAACTGGCACATAGTTCATAAAATATATCACCTTATCAAAATCATTAGTAGTACTAAGAATAAATTCATGTGGAAGAAGAAATAAAATGAAGCCAGGTGTGACAGCTAGGATGAGGCAGGAGGTTCACAAATTCAAGCCCAGCCTGGGCAATTCAATGATTTAGATCCTGTCCCAAAATTTTAAGAGGGCTAAGGAGATAGCTCCGCGATCTAAGCACCTGCCTGGCAAGCTCAAGGACCCGAATTTAATCCCTGGTTCCGCAGGGTGTGCAAGATCTAGAATCCCAGAAACTGGGCTTGGTGGCTCACGCCTGTAATCCCAGCGCGGGGGAGGCTGAGACAGGAGGATCCCTACGAGCCCAAGCTGCATAGCGAGACCCTGTACTAAATAAATAAGATTTTTTAAAAATTTAAAAAGAAAAACAAGAAAAGGCTGAGAACGCACCCTCATAGCCACACCTGTGACTGATTCCAGCACTCCAAGGGCTAAGGCAGGAGAATCGCCACAAGTTCAGGCCAGCCTGGACTACACAGACCCTGTCTCAAAAAAGAAACGGTAACTACAGATGATAAACACCTTTTCGGCTTCCTGACACTATTTCGATATGTACGTGCCTCCCACGATACATGAAGCATATTTCCCCCGGAGAGCTGTTGGGACCATCAAATGAAAGAATGGACCTGTGATCTCTACAGTATAGTTGCTACTGGAGCAGCAAAGCTGCTAGAGAACTAGAGCCAAAACTGATTTACATCCTTCTAATAGCCATCCCTCTCACTTCCCAAGGCGCCCTGCACTGACAACCAGAACCGCGCACACGCCCTTCCAGAGTGGGGCGCACGCACCGCCTCCTCCCCCTGGTGGTCGCCGAGGCTGCCCGAGAGCGCAGACGCCGAGCCAGACCTCGCGAGAAAAGGGCGACGCCGAGCGGCCGCAGTCTCGCTCTGGCCCCGCCCTTGTCGAACGTCATCTCAGGGTCGTCCTGGAAACGCATTCTGCAGGAACTGTCAGGGACCAATAAGAAGGAAACGAGTGCCACGAACAGGCCAATCAGGAGGGAGCGGCGCGGGGTTTAAACCAGAGCCGGACTGGCTCCTCCCTTCGTGCTGCGGAGGAACGGCTGTTGATCTGTAGTGGGTGCGCGCCCAGGTTTTCCTGGGGCTCCGGTATTCTGCTGCTGTCCGGTGAAGAGGAAGCCATGGCGCTCCGAGTCACCCGAGTAAGCCTCTGCGAGCCGTGAGCGAGTGCGGCCTTCCTCTCTGCGGGCCTTCCTACCCGTCTCTCCTGCGTAGTCCCTAAAGGGGGAGTTGGACCGCGGCGGCCGCGGCGTGGGAAGGACGGGGGGAGGGGGTCATCAGTGGGGACCCGGTGTGGTCGGGAGTTGGGCGGTGCACGGATGGCGGCGAGAGAAAGCATTGAACTCGTGTTGGATATGGATCTAAGGGGGAGCCGGAGGGTCGCACGGAGAACCTTTCTAAATGTTGACGGCACCAGGCATAGTGCTAGCGCTTGGTAGGCAGAGGCAGGAGGATCCCCACAAGTTCGAGGCCAGCCTGGATCACATAGTAAGACCCTGTCTCAAAAGCAGTAAAAATAAGTAGAAGGTGACGGCAGTGGAGCCTGAAGCAGCCCTCCACCAGGTACTAACCCGATCCTCTGGTTAGTACCAGATCCATTGGAGGCACTTAGAGTTTCCTTTCGAATATAAATTGCTACCCGGAACTTGAGAGGAAATTCCTCAATGGGTGAATGATGTTCCGGAAGGAAAGCAAAGCGTCCCAGCCCCCGCGCCGGAGGGTGAACCCTAGTGCCCTAGTTTGCGGCCGCTTTCCTCCTAAGACCCTTAACTGACTCGTGACTTACTACGAGGCCCCCCTGCCCCAATTCTGAAAGTGCTCTTAACTATTTTTCAGAACACGAAAATTAACGCTGAGAATAATAAGGCCGCGGTCAGTATGGCAGGCGCAAAGCGTGTGCCCTTGGCCACTGCTGCAGCCTCCAAGCCAGGTCTGAGGCCGAGAACAGCGCTCGGAGACATCGGTAACAAAGTCAGTGAGCAGCTGCAAGCCAGAGTGCCCCTGAAAAAGGTAACTGTCTTACTGTCCCGCTTCCTGGAAGACCCCCCACCTGCCAGCTGGGACCCCTTGATGGAGAACGGTCTATTCTGTTTCCTCCACAGGAATCAAAAACTTTGGCGACTGGAAAAGTTACTGCTAAAAAACTACAGAAACCTCTGGAAAAAGTGCCTGTGTGTGTGCCAGCGCCTGAGCTTGTTCCTGTTAAGGATGAAAAACTTTCTCCTGAACCCATTTTGGTAAACTTGTTACTGTCTTAGTTTGTTGAGTCTATTCTTCATTTCACTCATATTTAATTTTTTTTTTATGTATTTATTTTTTTGGCGGAATCGGGGATTGAGCTCAGGCCCTTGAGCTTGCCAGGGAAGTGTTTATTCTACTGAGCTATGTCCCTGGCTCTTTCACTTGTACTTAAACTACTTTTAAACAAATAGTAATGATAGTAAATTTACGAGTGCTTACCAAACCCTGCACGGCATTTTACTTGCATTAATTCATACAGTGTTTACCTACACTTTGAGGGTATGTATTGTCTATATTTTTTAGATAACTGGCCAAGAGAAATCTTGAGTGTCACAGCAATAAATGGCAGCTCATGTGGAATTAAGTCCAGACTGTCTTGCTTCAGGGTGCTTTTGTTTTCTGGTACTGTCCCCTTTTGTAAATGATACTAAGTAGAAGCTGTCTGAACCAAAGATTTTGCTTAATGTGACCATTAATTAATAACCCTACAATATGGGGCTATATAAAGGAGTTAATCACAAAGAAACTACCACCAGAGATGGGTGGAAGTCTAATTAACAGGCCCAATGCCCCAGAACTTTTTGGCTGAGGAAGTTGGTTTCTAGCTGGTGCAGTCAAAGCTTACTTTGCAAGCACAGGCCTTGGGTCCAGACCAAAACCAAACTTTTTATTTTATTTATTTTTTTTTTTTGGCGGAACCAGGCATTGAACTCAGGCCCTTGTGCTTGCCAGGAAACACTTATTCCACTGAGCCATCTCCCCGGCCCCAAACATTATTTAATACCACACGTAAATGTATGGATACCTGTGAAAGGAGGACACCCGTAGAAGAGACTGCTTTGCTATAATTACAGTGAGCTGCATTCTGAAGCTGTGGTTTTTTGTTGTTTTTTTAATGAAAGTCTGTTGTTTTTCCAATTAAGAGTGCCTTCCACAGCCCCTCTCATTTTGCAAATTAACTTTTTATCCTTCTCAAAACAAGGCAAGCAGGTCCTAAAGCCTTCCCTAACTTCCCCCACCCAGCCCTTGCCCCAGAATTGATCTGTTTATTTACCTTATCAGTGCTAAATTTAAATCCCCTAGAGGATGCCATGAAGCCGGTGCCTAGCACAGTTTGACTTAAAATACTGGAAAGATGTTTGTACTGGGGGATCAAGAGAGCTTGAAGGAAACACGAATCCTTCGTAGTCAGGATAGAACTTGTGTTCTCCTGAGAAGTAAGGAGCAATCTAAGGTTTGAAATAAAGACTAAAGACCGACTTGTAATTCATCTGGATTACCTTCACATGGTGCTGATGAGCAGCTTCCTAACTTCTCAGATTCCCTTGGAGGAAAGGCTAGATCTAGAACGGTGGTGGCGAACCTTCTAGAGACGAGGGCCCAGACTGCAGCCCCAAACCGACTTGGCACTTAATGCCAGCACTGCAGTTAGACCAGAATACTGAGGTTTGAGTAGAGGAAAACAATTCATACCTTGACATCCTTTTTTTTTCTCCTGATTTAAATTTAATCACCTGTCCTGAAACAGATCACTCCACAAGCCCTACGTCTGCATTGTGCTTTGAAAAGGTCAAAGCAGAAAGTCAAATTCTACCAAGTCAAAAACTCGTCAATACATCTAGACAGATGTTTGTTTGCAGTTTTTAGTATCCAAAACTTTTTCTCCACACATCGCACAGATGCCTTTCTTGTAGGCACAGCCCTGGCAGTAGTGGGGACCCAGCTGGTGCACAGAACTTTTACAAATTCTGCCAAGTAGAGAACTTATTCTTTCCATACAGATCGAATCTTGCCTTTTTTGAAGTCAGTGCTTTATTTTCAGTTTTCTTCCACCACGTTCTGTGGCATTTCTTGCACCATCTTTCCATGTGTCCGGTGTAATAACAGTGCCAAGTTTCTTTACACATTTTTCGCACACCATCCTCACGCCCACTAGCCCCTCAGCCGCAGAAGGACATCTTTTGTATTAAAAGTAAAACACAGTACCAGAGCTTTCAGTGATTGATTCAGCTTTTTATTGAAAAGTAAAATTAGCGTTTGGCACGTTATCCAGTGTTGGGTTGCTGGGGTGACCGGGCTGCCATGTCAACGCAGGGGGCTCTGCTCACAGTGGCATGCGTGCCATAGGTGATCCAGAATAGGAGTTTATTTGCCTCACCTCTTTTTTTTTTTTTTCTTGTGGTATTGGGGATTAAACCTGGGGGTGCTCTACCAGTGAATTGAGCTACATTCCTAGTCCTCTTCTTTATTTTATATAGTCAATACAGAGTTTTCTAGGGGCCAGCCAAATTGTTCAGCGGATTAAAGCAGGCACAGGGTCCAGGGTTCGATCCCGCCCCCAGGGTGTGCTGAAACCATGACTGAGACTGGGTATGGTGGCATGCGCCTATAATCCCAGCTCTTGGGAGGCTGTAAACAGTCAGATCGTGAGTCCAATCTAGTAGTGAGACCCTGAACACCCTGTAGACCCTTCCTACGAATACAAAAAAAAAAGACTTCTAATTTGCACAGAGAGGACCTGACTTAGCTGAGATTAATTTTTATTTTAAGGAAATGAGTTGCTGTCTGTAGCACTTTCCTTTTTTTGTTTGGTCTTTGAGGCAGGGTCTCATGCAGTTCAGGCTGGCCTTGCACACACTTAGTAGCCCAGACTATAAAACTCACCACTCTCAAGGCTCCTCCACCTCAGCCTCCTGAGTGCGGGGATTGCAGGTGTGTGCCACCACTCGTGGCTGTAGCAGTTTTTCGAGTCTGCTATAAACCTGGCCTTCACTCCCAAGCTGTCCTCTATGCTCTTCTCTGCTGCTCTCTCCAGGTTGATACTCCCTCTCCAAGCCCCATGGAGACCTCTGGGTGTGCCCCTGCTGAAGAAGATCTGTGTCAGGCTTTCTCTGATGTCATTCTGGCTGTGAGTGATGTGGATGCAGAAGATGGAGCAGATCCAAACCTCTGTAGTGAATACGTGAAAGATATCTATGCTTATCTCAGACAGCTTGAGGTTGGTATTATCATTTGTGTCTATTTGTTAACTGCACCTAGCTTGACTAAAAGTTTGGGTTTTTTTTAAGCAAGATATTGCTACATTATGTGCCGGCCTTAAATTTCTGGGCTCAAGTGATGCTCCTGTCTCGACCTTCTGAGTAACTGAATGTACAAGTGTGTTCCTCTGTGTCCAGATTTTTATTTTTTATGGTGGCTTGAGCCTAGGATAAAGACTTGAGTCACATTCTCAGCCCCCTCCCCCTTTTTTAATAAGCTAGGGATTCAGTGGGAGGATGGGGATGTACTGGGATGGAACGCCGGACCTTGTACTTGCTAGGCAAGTGTTTAAAAGCCACTGAGCTATCTCCTGGCCCCTCTGCAGCCCTTTTTTATTTTTAGACAGGGTCTCACCAAGTTGTCCAGTCTGGACAAACTTAACAATCCTCCTCCCTAGATTACATAGTGAGGCTCTGTCTCAAACAAATGGAAAAATGTTTAAAAAGAAAAACGGTAGGGGCCAGGGAGATAGCTCAGTGAAATAAGCACAAGGGCCTAAGCCTCAATCCCTGGTTCTGCCAAAAAAAAAGAAAAAAAAAAAAAGAAAAGAAAAACTTTAAAAGGCAGGCTGCAATTAGAACACAACTATGGGGACATCTGTCATAGTGGGGAATGGGTAAGTTCTGGACTCCCTGGGGTTAAAAGAAGTGGAAGACTCCCAAGAGGCAGGAATTGTAAGCAAGCGGGGAGGATAAGACCTAGACTGTCAACCAGCACAGCACCTTGTTAGTGTGCCTGAGTGCCTGTGACTGTCAAGACAAAAGCAATCTTAGTTTCCCTTCAACTTGGTGTGGGTGTGGGTGGGTGGTAATGGAAATTGAACTCAAACCTTGAGCTTGTCAGGCAAGTGCTTATGCTGCTGAACTATATATCCCCAGTCCAGTTTCCCTTCCACTTGACCAAACTTCAGAAGGTTTGCTCTGCTGAGCAAGTTGGTACATAACTGCAATCCCAGCTCTAAGGAGGCTGAAGCAGGAGAATCTCTGCAAGTTCAAGGCCATCCTTAACTGCATAGTGAGATTCTTATCTCAGAAAAACAAGAGCCTGCCAGATAGCTCAGCTGACTAAAGTGCCTGCTTAGGCAGAGCACAGCGACCTGTACTTGATCCCCAGGCTGCCTTGCTGGCCCTACCCCCGGGGCACACTTAAACAGTGCTTGAGACTGGGCGTGGTGGTGGACATTTGTAATCCCAGCACTTGGGAGGCCGAACAGGAAAATCACTAATCTGTGTAGTGAGACCCTATACCAAATATGCCCCCCAAAAAAGGTACTAATGACACTTGCTCTTTCCCCTTCTATAATAAACATTCTGTATAGTAAGCTAACAAAATCTACAGTTGCCCAATTTACTCAACTATTTGGGGGTTGTTTTGTTTTTGACTGTTCAAGCACAGCCTGAACTACATCATGAGATCCTCACTTAAAAAAAAAAAAAAGGAAAAATTCTAACTGTGTAGGACTGATTTAGAAGAATTACACAATAGTCTGATGTACTAGGGATTGAACCTTGGAAGTACTCAGGAACATCCCAGCTCTTTTCCTTTGAGTTGAGGCACAAGTTGGCTAAGTTGCCTAGGCTGGCCTAGAACTTGTGCTGCACTTGACTCAGCCTGTTAAGAAGCTGAGATCGTGCATACATGCCACCATACCCATCTCATTGTTCTCTAGCTATGCTGGTGTTGGGTTTTGAGGAATGCAGACACGTGAGTTCCGACTGATTTGGGGGTTACCGATAACTTCCCCAACCACATGAAGCTCCGTCAGATCCTGGTTTTAGAGTCTGAAGCTCAGTCAGATCCTGGTTTTAGAGTCTTGCATTGGAAAATGCAAGCTGATAGCGTGGTACCTTTGTTTGGGAGTAGGGTCAGTGTAGGACATTTGCCAGTGGTGGCTGGCAAACTATTCTCAGTAAAAATGACAGTGTGTAAACCCATCCCACCATCCCACTTGCTTTTCTATGATGGAGCTGTTTATAATAACTGAATAACTCAACCAGAATCTTTTATAAATTCTAAGTGCCCCCAAGCCATTCTCTGATGACAGTCTGGTGTTGTGAACCTGTATGTCACCTGGATCCATGCTGCTTAGGAGAAATGGCTTTTTCTTTTGCAGGAAGAGCAGGCAGTCAGACCAAAATACCTACTGGGTCGAGAAATCACTGGAAACATGAGAGCCATCCTAATTGACTGGCTAGTACAGGTTCAGATGAAATTCAGGTTACTGCAGGAGACCATGTACATGACTGTGTCCATTATTGACCGGTTCATGCAGGTAAGCATATTTCAGCAATTTAATTTTTTTTTTTTTTTTTTTTTTTTTTTTTTTTTTTTAATTTTGCTTTGGTAGTACTGGGAATTGCATCCAGGGCTTTTGAATGGAGCTACATTCCTGGCCCCTTTTATTTTGAAACAGTGTCACTAAATTACCCAGCAGCCTCAAACTTGGAATCTTTCTGCCTCCGCATCTCACAGTGCGGGATTATAGGCATGTGCAACCCAGCCCAGGTATAATTCAGTAATCCAGCATCACAGCTGAATCAGAGAAGACTGTTCATCTGCACTTCTGTCAGGAGATAAGTTATAGATGGAAGTGGACCGTGGAAGTAGATTTCCTTGTCAAGTACTGTTATTCACCCCCTGGAAATTGCCGTTACAGAATAATTGTGTGCCTAAGAAGATGCTGCAGCTGGTCGGAGTCACTGCCATGTTCATCGCAAGCAAATACGAAGAAATGTACCCTCCAGAAATTGGGGACTTTGCCTATGTGACTAACAACACTTACACTAAGCACCAAATCAGGCAGATGGAAATGAAGATCCTGAGAGTTTTAAACTTTGGGCTGGGTCGCCCGCTCCCCCTGCACTTTCTTCGTAGAGCATCAAAGATTGGAGAGGTAAAAATTTCACGACAAACTTGGTATACAAGTTAGGGAATACTGCCGTTCACCTGTGTTAAATGCCTACCTTTGTTTGAAAAGAATGAAGATATTAATTTTTAATAAGGCGAAATTAATTATGAATATCTTCCGTGGGTAATTGCATTTAGAGTTGGTAGTCATATTTGTAGTTAAAGATGGATATATGGGACCAGCAAGATAGCTAAATGGTTTACGCAAAGCGCTGGGGCCGCAGTTCAATCCCTGGCACCACATGCTGCAGCAGCCCCACCCCCAGGATGGGCTGAGCAGGCCACCAAAAAAAAAAAAAAAAAAAAGAGACACATGGATATATGGGTCATTGCCAGTATAAAATTCTCTGAAAGCAAATTAGTGAATTGTGGGTTTTGTTCCAGGTCGATGTTGAGCAACATACACTGGCCAAATACCTGATGGAGCTGTCTATGTTGGACTATGATATGGTGCACTTTCCTCCTTCTCAGATTGCAGCAGGAGCTTTTTGCTTAGCACAGAAAATTCTTGATAATGGCGAATGGGTAAGTTCTGGTATTGGACTGAATGTAGAACTCCTCATTAAGGCAATTCAACGCTTACTGAATATGGAAGGGAATAGTAACAGTTAATGTTTGTGTCATCTGCATGGATGCTTCCATTTCTTCCCAGACTTTAATCATTATGTAACTCTTTGATAATCCTTATATGTAGAAACCCACATAAGTTAAATGTCATACAAGAAATTCACTCATGTTCATTGATTTTACTGGTATTTCTGCTGTGTGCCGGGCACTAACCTGTGCTCAAGAAATAGAACTCTGAATGAGAAAGTCGGCCTTTAGGGACTGGGAGCCTAGCTTTGGGGTGGACAAGCTAGCGACTGTATTAGTGTTACTAAATTTGAGCACACACGACTATAAAGCAGGAGAGAGCACCTGGGGGAGTTTTAAGTGTCCCTAAATCCTGGTTCTACTAATCAGTCATGTATATCATCCTCCTGCCCAGTCTTGAATAACATTGAGAAATTCTCTGAAAACCATTGTTAAGAATTTTTAACATGTTTGTTGCCCTAGACACCAACTCTGCAGCACTACCTGTTGTACACTGAAGAGTCTCTTTTTCCTGTAATGCAGCACCTGGCTAAGAATATAGTAGTGGTCAATCGTGGGCTTACAAAGCATATGGTGAGTCCTAGGCATGGTGGTGCACACCCATAATCCCAGCATTTGGGAGGCTGAGGCAGGAGGGTCATCAAAAATTTGAAATCAGTCCACTCTACATTTATGAGTTGAAGGCCAGCCTGAACTACATAAGGCAAGACTGTCTCAAATAAGCCAGCAAAGAAACAGCATGTAGTTTAGTACAATCCCTATTGCTGGAGAAAAAAAATTTAAGACTACATGTAGATGCATACATTTTGTTTTAAGTACCATGTACATAGTTGGCATTGAGTTTGATAATTAGCTTTTGTTTTGACTGAGTATTGCTATGTTGGCCTGGGCTGGCCCACAACTTTAAGCCCAAGTGATCCTCCCATTTCAGCCTCAGAACTAATTGAAATTACAGGCCACACCATGATGCCTGGCTTAGATGTTGGGGGGACGGAGCAGGCCATTTGGAGAGGGAGTTAGCACTGTAGCTTAACAGTAGAGGATTTGCCTCCCATTTAAGGCAATGCGCCGTGGGTTTGATCCCCAGCCCTGCGGGCAAAAAGTGGGTTTTTTGGTGTTGGGGATTGAATCCAGCTCTTCTACCACTGAGCTACATCCCCAGTAAGGATGCTTTAGATGATTAGCATGTAAGATCTTAAGCTCCATTAATAGGAGTTCTGTTGTTAGTTGTGGGCTTTCCTTCATGAATTGCCTCTGCTTTTATTCTCTTCCAGACTATCAAGAACAAATACGCCACCTCAAAGCATGCTAACATCAGCACTCTAGCGCAGCTGAATTGTGCCTTAGTTGAAGATTTGGCCAAGGCTGTGGCAAAGGTGTAACTTGTAAACTTGAATACTCTATCTGCAAATAAAATTGGCACCATGTGCCACTTGTACATATTATATTGCATTAACAGACTTTAATAAAGATTGTGGGCCTTTTTATTTTTTATACCTTAACTGGTTACGAGGTTAGTTTCTCTTCTAGGGTAACCTAAACATGTGCTTTAAAGGATGGGTGGGACTATGCTTAAAAACTGCTTTTAGTTTCCCAGGGGATCCAGCTGATGTATAATAGTTGCCTGTATGTCTGTATGTCTACTTGGTTCTTCTTTGTGTACCTAGCTTTCAGTGTGAGTGAAGCTGATGCCTAAAGCTGTTCCTCCAGTAGGGGCTCCTGTGTATAAGCGGCTGCAACATCTGGAAAGATCTCCTGCCTCGTTCTCGTTTAAAGTAAAAGTGCCACTTCTCCCTAATTCTCTCTGCCACCTCTTTTGCTGCTTCTGGTGGCTGCTGTCTTAAGTATAAATAAACTATGTCAATCGTTTCTCCAGCTATCAGTTTGGTATCTTAAAAATGATAAGCATATTTGAAGTATAGTTTTGATTTTGTGGAGGTTTTTTTTATTAAGAAATAAAACATTGCTCAAAAGAACAACTGAAAAAATTTAATTTGACCCTCAATCCCATCCACATCAGGTATATATAGTTATATTTTTGTATTCACAAAAATTTTAAGGACTGTGTATGGTTGTCTTTTTGAGATAGGGTCTCACTATGCAGTCCAGGCCAGCCTTTAACTCAACTTTGTAGCCCAGCCAGGTCTCCAAACAATCCCTTTGCCTCAAGTCTCCCAAGTGCTAGGATCAAAGGTGTGTGACCCACACCACACTTTGCCATAAAGGGAGAGTTTAAATGTGTTCATTCTATGCATAGTAATTCCTTAGTCTCCTATATTTGTACATGATGTTACAAAAATACAGTGTAGTGCCACGCAGATCCCACTGACCTCTGCATTTTCTCTGTCCTTCCAAAAAGCGCTGTTCAAGCATTTTTGTGCTGTGCCTTGGCACATGGCAGATTTCCTGGGGTACGTGGACTGTGAGGTCTGACAGATTGCATTCACAGATCAGCAGCAGCATGCAAAAGTGTTCTCTTTGACTCCTTATTAGAACTGAAAGTAGTTAATTTTTGTGAGTATCTGGCAAAAAATACCTCCTACAGTGTTTTTATTTTATGCTTAGAACAAGTTGATTTGTGTCTTATGTCAAAATACTCCCTCTGCTCTTACTGTTTGCTGCCACCATGAAAAGCTGCTCTCTGCCTGAGCCAGTCTCTTTGAGCCAAATAAGTGTGAACTGAAACCCCACAAAACTGCTGAGCTAAATAAACCTTTCTTAAAAAACAAACAAGGGGCTGGGGAGATGGCTCAGTAGAAGAAGTGCTTGCCTAGCAAGTGCAAGGGCCTGAGTTCAATCCCCGGTTCCACAAAGGCAAAAAACAAAAAACTTTGCCAGTTTGTCATTTGCCCTTCATTTATCTTGGTTTTGTTCTTTTCAGACTTGGTGAGACTGGTTCAGGCTGGCCTCAGCTGGCAGTCTTCCTGCTTCATTCTCCTGAGTAATGGGATTAAAGGCATGCATGTCACCACTCCCAGCTTTCTCCTTTTTCTGTGTGTGTGTGTGTGTGTGTGTGTGTGTGTGTGCGCGCGCGTGCTGGGGCTGAAGCCAAGGCCTGGTGTATGAAGGCAAGGGCTCTACCCCTGAGCTGTATCCCATATCCTCAGGCCTCTTTTATTTTGTTCTTTATATGTGGAGTTTCTCGTTTAACCTTGTATGTTGGGGTTACTTCACTTAACATGGATTCAGGTGCCTCCATTTGCCCTCCAGGGACTCAAATATATCCTGGATAGAGTGATACTCCATTGAATATAAATACATTTTCTGTATCCATTTGTGTTGATTCACAGAAGCAATTTCCAAGACTTAGCTATTATGGGCATCTAATTTTTGAGTTCTGTATATATTCTGGTATTAGATGTCTGTGCAGGGATAACTGGCAAAACAATTTTTCTGTTCTGTAGATGTACCAGTATAAAAATGGGCACACATCTATCATAGTATGGCATCTGTTACGGTTTGTGGCTAGTCCACCCAAAGCCTCATGCAGTCATGGGGCGGGGACTTCTACAGTTTGAAATTAACTCATCCACTCAGATTATGGGTGTTAGTACTGCTGGGATTATGGGCGTGAGTGCTATACCAGCCTGAGCTGGATAGCCTGAATGTAATGTAAGAGAGACTTCCTTTGTGGCCATTTGTTGGCTGCTGCTCCTCCCTTTTGATCTCTGCTCTTACCTGCTGCCATGAAAGGTTGCTCTCTGCCGTGTGCCGCTCTGCGGTGGAGCCAGCAGAGTATGGATTGAAACCTCTAATAACTAAGCTAAAGAAAGCTTTCCTCCCTTCATTTTGGGTGTCAAGTATTTGTCCCAGCAACGAGAGAAGAGTATCTGAGATAGCATCTTTAACTTTTAGGAGTTAAGTAGATTAAAAAAGTTTCAGTGACCTTTATGCTAAGTGCCATATGATTGTGCTACTTTCCATTCCTAATAACAAAGTAAAAGGGTTTCCCACTCCAGCCTTATCCTATTTGGTTTCTTCATGATAGTCATTCTTTCTGGAGTAAGGTAAAGCCTCAGTGTTGTTTTCATTTACATTTTTCTAAGGCCGGTGAGATAGCCCAGCGGGAGGGAAGCTACTAGAATTGATAGACAAATTCAGTAGAATAGCAGGATACAAAGTCAATACCCAAAAGTCAATAGCATTCCTCTACACAGACAACAAACACACTGAGAGGGAAATTAGAGAATCAATACCTTTTAGAATAGCCCCACGAAAAATGAAATACCTTGGAATTCACCTAACTAAAGAAATCAAAGATCTTTTCATGGAAAATTACAGTACTTTGAAAAAAGAGATCATAGAGGATTTCAGAAAATGGAAGGATGTTCGATGCTCCTGGATAGGAAGAACCAGCATAGTGAAGTTGGCCATACTCCCAAAATTGTTGTATAGATTTAATGCAATCCCTATCAGACTACCACCAACATACCTCCCGGTCCTAGAGAAATTGTTCCTAAAATTTATTTGGAACCAAAAAAGACCTAGAATAGCAAAGGCAATCCTGGCCAACCAATACAAAGCAGGAGGCATTACAATTCCTGACTTGAAATTATACTACAAAGCTACTGTGATAAAATCAGCATAATATTGGCAACAAAATAGACCTGAGGATCAATGGAATAAATTAGAAGATGCAGAGGCCTCTAGGAATGCACTCAGACACCTGTTCTTTGACAAAGGGGCCAAACACACTTACTGGAAAAAAGATAGTCTCTTTAACAAATGGTGCTGGAAAAATTGGCTTCTACATGCTGAAAACTAAAACTTGACCCAGGTCTATCACCATGCACTAAACTAAAGTCAAAATGGATTAAAGAACTGAACATTAAAATAGAAACACTAAATCTCCTGGAAGAGAATGTAGGAGAATCTCTCGAAGACGTAGGGGTAGGCAAAGAATTCATGAACAAAAATCACACAGGAAATACTTGGAAGAATTAACAACTGGGACCACCTCTTATTGAGAAGTTTTTGCACGTCAAAAGAAATTACCAACAAAGTGAAAAGACAACCCACAAACTTCGAAAAAATATTAACTAATAAGCACTCAGACAAAGGTCTGCTCTCTAGAATTTATAAAGAACTAAAGAACACTAGGGCCCCTAAATTTAAAGACCCAATCCAGAAATGGGCATCCGAGGTGAACACACACTTCTCAGAGGATGAAATTAAAGAAGCAAATAAATATATGAAAAAATGTTCCTCATCACTAGCCATCCATGAAATGCAAATTAAAACAACACTGAGATACTATCTCACCTCAGAAAGAATAGCTATCATAAATCAACCAACAACAAATGTTGGAGAGGCTGTGGGGAAAGGGGAACCCTACTCCACTGTTGGTGGGAGTGTTCCAAAACCATACTGGAAATCAGTATGGTTAACATTTCCTTTTTTTTTTTCTTTCTTTTTTTTTTGCGGTGCCAGGGATCGAACTCAGGACCTTGTGTTCATCAGGCAAGCACCTATTCCATTGAGCTATCTCCCCAGCCCCTGGAAATCAGTATGGAAACTCCTTTAAAAACTAGAACTGAAGAGTTTGTTTACATTTCTCCCAGACCCAGCCACTGCTTTTGGCAGCAGAGACTCCAAGATGGGAAAATCCTTCGCCAATTTCATGTGCAAAAAGGACTTTCACCCTGCCTCCAAGTCCAATATCAAGAAGGTATGGATGGCAGAACAGAAAATATCATATGATAAGAAGAAGCAAGAAGAATTTATACAGCAATATCTCAAAGAACAAGAATCATATGATAACAGATTGCTTATGGGAGATGAATGTGTAAAGAATGGGCTTAATTTCATGTACGAGGCCCCACCAGGAGCTAAAAAAGAAAACAAAGAGAAAGAAGAAACAGAAGGAGAAATAGAATACAAATTTGAATGGCAAAAGGGGGCTCCAAGGGAAAAATATGCCAAAGATGATATGAACATCCGAGGCCAGCCTTTTGGAATTCAGGTTCAAAATGTGAGATGCATTAAATGTCATAAATGAGGTCATGTCAACACAGATTGAGAGTGTCCTTGGTTTGGCCTTTCTGGAATCAATGCAAGTTCAGTTCCCACTGATGGCTCAGGGCCATCGATGCACCCCTCGGAGCTAATAGCAGAGATGAGAAACAGTGGGTTTGCACTGAAAAGAAATGGGCTGGGGAGAAACTTGGCGGCACATGATCTAGCACAGGAGGATGTTTCCAGTGAGGGTGAAGAAGATCCAGAACTTCTGAATCCAGATCCAGAAGTTGATCCAGAAGATCTTGGTCACTAACAACCAAACAAAAACAGAAACTTCTCAGGAAATTGGACAGGCTTGAAAAGAAAGAATAAGAAAAAGAAAAGAGAAAAAATAAAAAGTTATGCAAGACCAAAAGTAAACACA